TTTTTTTTTTTTTTTTGCAACTGATAACAGTGTATTATCGTGGATCTTAGATCTCACTTTTTTTTTTCGTTTCAAAAAACCAATTCGGTCTTTCCTCTTCTTCGGTTTTTAAAACAAAGGTATGTATCTGTTGACATCAGTTCAAAATAATCTTTTCTGATTAAAGTTTGACCATAACTACAAGGAAAAAAAGTCTTTCTAGAGATCCGTTAGACAAGACTTTTGTCTTTCATCTCTTTACCCACCTTCTTTTTTTCTTCATTTTTACTGATATACAGATTGATAAAAATAATATAAAAAATTTTTTGTTTTGTTCTTGATACTTTTTTAACTGACATTTTTCACTTACATTTCCGCAGTATCAAAACAGCACTAAAAACACAAAAATCCTAATAAAAAAATGTTTTTTTCTGATTTAATTTATTAAATAAAAAAGTAAAATAAGAAAAGTTGGATACAGTAAAATTTATTGAAAAAGACTGATGTTAATAATTAGAAAAAAAGACACAGTGCATAGTATAAGCAATTTTATATTATTCACTTCTTACTCTTTTCAATAAAAAAACTTGAATATTTCACCATCTGAAGCCAATTTTAAACTAAGCAAATCTTTCCAAAAAAAAGAAGTTTTTTTAAATCATTGAAGCAAATTACTCTTATAACAGCCTCTTTTGCTCAAATAGATAAATCAAAATTGTACATTAAATGTATAATCTGAAGATTACCGTTGAAAAGCACCTTGAGTTTCTGGTTCCAAAAATGGATTATACCGTAGATTACCACGATTAAGACTGTTCAGTACTTCAACCACATTTTTCACAGTGGCAACTGTTTCAAGATCCAATAAAACCTATAAACAGCAGTAGGAAAAAAATTCTCATAAAAGAGACCGTATAAAAGAACTTGAAAATTTCTTGTTTTCTTTGCTTTTATCGACATAACATTTCTTAATCTGTTTTGGCTGTTGTACAGTTAATCGTATGTGAAAAAAGCACATACAATTATACAAATATAAACATACATATGTGTAATGAGTAATCTGTCTGAGAGTGAACTGAACTTGGTCGGATTATGTATTCTGCTGTAAAAATATTTGAACAAATGTAGAAGAAAGCAAAAACCTTGTTTCCTTGCTGCCTCCTCCCCTCCTTTTCCCCCTCCCCCCCCTTCCGCAACTCTCAATCTGGTATTCATCAAAAGTGTTCAAAATTACAAACCCTAAAAGCGATCAAAGAGCACGTTCGCTATTAAAAAAATTAGGGAAAAAAATTAAATTAATTTATAAGATAACCAAAATAACATTAAAAAATCGAAACAATAACATATAAAAAAAATGAGTAAAAATACACCCCCAAAACATATTTTATACAGTTGCAAAAATCAACAGACCATAACAACACATCAAACTATCACTAAACATATGTTTGACATCTTGAAAATGCTTTTATCTACTGCAAAATTCATTTGAATCTATGCAATCTTTTAATGAAACATACAGTAATTCAACATCTTTTCACCATATAAATCCAACTGGAAATTTTTTTTAAACTCAAAAAAAAACATATGTTATTTAACAGTCATAAAAATTAAACTTTTTTGCTTTCACAACATTATTGGCATTCTGTTAGTGTACCAACTGTTATCAAACTTCTACTTTTTATTGTTCAGTTTGCCTTAAATAATAAACCTTTGTAGCCAACAGTTTTATTGGCTTTTATTTTTAATCTTTCCGTGCAAAGAGACTAAATTTTTGCAAAAAATACTTCATCTTTTTCTCCTGTACTTCTCCCCACTCTCCCCCCTTTCTCTACCATCAACGTTTCTGCTCCTTTGTTCACGAGTATTTCTGGTCTTTAATTTAGCCGTATCAAATAGGTGCTTAAATGAAATTGAATGTCTAAAATTGCATAGGTATTCTTTAATTACACCCTTTCTAAAAAAAAAAAACCAACGTCAAATTATTACGTAGATACATCAAGTGGTGTTATTGTTTTGCACCGAACGTTCCACTCAAATAGTTGTCTATCATCAGTGTCTTGTTTCACTTTTAACTCTCACTCATGCCACTAAATAATTTGTTAATTTTTGACAAAGAATTTATTGCTGAAACTACTTAACAGTAAACCAAAGTTGAAAAAAACTTTTTTTTTCGTATAAATACTAAAACCAAAACAAAAATCTGAAGAATGACTATAAAACTTTTAACTTAACATATAACGTAAAAGAAAAAAAAAGAAGAAGAAAACAAATAGAATTTGATAACGTGTTTTCAGTTTTAGCAGCCAAAAAAAAAAGAACATTTCATCCACTTTCTTTTCCAGCAATAAAGTTTTACACATCTCCTGTAAAAAACTAAAGATAAGAAGAGGTAAATTTGATTGCTGAGTCGAGAATTAAGAAGGCAGGAGAGAAGTGGTTAACATTACAGGCGAAAATAAACTAATTTTTTTTGATTATCTAACATTGTAGTTCCCGATACATCAAGGAAAAAACTCAGGAAATTGTTTCTTCAGAAATTCATTTCTTGTCAACAACGTTGCTAATGACGATGATGAGAATTCTGATACATACAGCTCCATAAATAAATTATTTCTAGCTTAGTTTTCTGTTGTACAAAAATTTTCTGAATAAAACTTTTTAACCATTTATTTGCTGCCAAAGTTTTTCTTTTGCATCCGGCCGACTATCCACTTGAATTTGGTTTCTCCAACAAAATTTCTATTTATCATTTCGGCTACAACAAACAGTCTTCAGCCACACTAAACTACAAAAAAAAAAAAAAAAAGAATCAAAAAATGCATAGTAAAACTATCTAAGCTTTAGCAAAAATGTTGAACAAACTAAAAACGTGCTGATACTATGCAAACAGATGTTTAGCAGATCGTACAATTTCAACATGAATTTTAAGTAAAATTTAGATTGATTCAAGGATTCTTTTTATACACTGAACAGAATATTACCTCAACAAACTGATAGGTGTAATAACAACTTTTTGTTTCAACCTTTTTTTTTTCTTTTTTTGCTTTCTATACTGTTCTTTATCAGTTTGGCGACAAAAGAGCAATAGAAATGGCAACAAAAAACAACATTGAAATCGTCTCATAACTCATCCATCTCATCCATCATCTGTATCTGTCAAACACAGATACAGAATTGTCGCTGATCGACAAAACCAGATGTTTTCTGTTAACTTCATCTAGCAACCTCGCCGTTTTTGACATCGAAAACAATAGATGGTAAAATAATTGAGAGTTACAAAGGCTGTCAAATTTAATTGGTCAAATAACGATTTTAGAAATTGATGACAAACAGTCTCTAAAATGTTTATATTCTTTGTGCCAACAGAAAAAAAAAAACGTCCAAAAGCATAAGCAAAAATAAACTCAGCCATAGAGACATATGGAGACTTAAAAAAAGAGGCTTACACATTTTTTTACATATGTTTTACAAAAAAAACAAAGCCATTAGATAGTTTTCCTCCACTCTCTTTTTCTTTGCAATAATTTTTTAACTTTTTAAAATTAACCTCTATAAGCTAAGCAAAAAAAAAGAAAAAAAAAGTAGAAAAAGCTGTAATATATAAGGAAAATGAGCATTACAAAAGAAGTCGGAATTCAAGTTAAAAGTTGACTGCACATATATCATTCTGGTTTTTTTTTTTTAATATAAATACGAGCAACAGAAAAAAACGCACACATAACAAAATAAACCTCAAACAGTTTTTATTAAATAGAACGATCAAAAAACCCTATGATACTTCTTTTTTTTTTTTTGTTGAGTAGGCCGAAAATTAGTCGAAAAAAAAATGATAAAGAAAAATTCAGAATATTTATCAAAAGTACTTCTGTTCCGGCGTTTTTTCACATCACTAGCCTGGTAACCTTAGTTTTTACAAACCAAAAACTTCAACTGCCAGGTTACAGATGACAATTAAAGTGTTTTTTTCCTGTTGTTGTTTTAAAAAGAAGAAAAAAAAA